GCGGGGAGAAGGCGGCGGAGAAGGCGAAGCCCGCTAAGGCGGAGGAGGCCAAGGGGAAAGCAGCAAAGCCCGAGGAGGCCGCGGAGGAGGTCGGTGCGGCAGTCCCGCCTCGTGTTGTTGGGGCGATGGCGTGGGGCAGTCAAATTAACCAGGTCTTCAAAAACCTGGTGACAGCATGGGGTCTGGTGTTTGTGCCACGTCTTATCCTTACGCAGCTTCTGTAACCTGAATTAGGGGTGGGCTCTGTGCATCTCCCCCAAAGCTTGTCTTTGCTGACAGCTGCGCCTACGCTGCCACGTTTTCCCTAAATATTACAGCACTGCAGTAACGCATGAGCACTCTATAACGTGCCAGTCACTAACACTGCATGTGTTCGGTCGGTGCCTTTGAATTATGTGGTTGTTCGGTCTTGAATGTAGTTGCTCTGAGACTAGTTAACGCAGCAGTCGTAACTCTGTTCTTATAAACTTAGGGGCCACCAAAATATACAAAATCAATTTTGAAGAAGGGTGATAAAACCAACTTTCCGAAGAAAGGGGACACTGTTCATTGCTGGTATACGGGAAAACTACAGGATGGAACGGTCTTCGATACCAATGTTCAAACCAGTAAGGTCACATATTTAGTGTTTGGCTTTTGTTGCGGATGCACGTAGAGGAAATTAGTTGGAATCATTAAGCAGCCTTGGGCAAGTGTTTGTTTGCTTCTGGAAGGTGTGTGTGGCAGGGGTCCTAACAAACAAACCGCTTTTGCCATCGTGTTGTTGAGCAGACAGGGGGGTGTCCCTGTGCCGTCTGCTCCCTGGAGCCTGATTTTCCATGAGGGAATGCAGGGCGGTATTTTAAGACTGGCTGGTGTCAAGTGACACTGCTGCATCTTGGCAGGCCCCATTCTCCAGGCCCTAGATCATGTGAATTGCAGGGGTTTAATCAGTGCTGAATCCCACTTCGGAGGAGGGGCAGTTCCTGCTGGGGGAGATTCCCTTATCGAAGGAACTCGAGCACAGCAGTGGAGTTGGCATCTCTAAATAGACTCATCTTGGTGTGCTTCTGTAATAAACCCTTAAACGTGGAGGCACTGGAACGAGAGTGATTCCAAGTAGCCTGGTGTACCATATCCACTGTGGAGAAGTACACCGGTATTTTGTGACAGTTTCTCGATCAGAGGATTTGCGGTATATGGAATTCTGAAATACCAGACAGGCCTTTCCAGCAGTGATGTCCAACGCTGAGAGGAACAGCAGGGCTGCCGCTGGAATACTGTCCGTGATTCGTCGTAGTTGTAGGACGTTGTACGTCCCCTGTTGACTACTTCGGCCTCACTGAAGTGTTTATGACTCGTACCATCAACTGAGGCTCCCTGGGTCGGTATCCGAAAGACGCCCATCAACGTTACCTCTCGGTGCAACTTGAACGTTTACTAATGCTTTTAGCGCACGGCACTAAATTTTCACATAGAAATCTGACAGTGGGCTAAAAATAATATTGTAAGAACAGATATTTACATAAAGCATGATCATAATAGTGATTTTTAGACGGAAGTATGGTATGTGCTGGTGTGATGTTAAAGCAAGTGAACATAAAACTGTCTTTCAGGTTCAAAGAAGAAGAAAGCAGCCAAACCTCTAAGTTTCAAAGTTGGCGTAGGAAAAGTAATCAGAGGTGTAAGTAAACCATTAACAACTCCCTCAGAATGCAAAAAGTTTTCATTCTGCAGGATTGATGACCAGGGTGCAAATGTTGAGCTGCTGTTCTTGTTTCTTGTCGAGGTAAAAAAGGTAAGGTGAAAGCGTTTGTGTCCACAGGAGGCAATATGTACTCCTTACGGGCGCGTGCATCCATCTGCAGTGTCATTGCTCTCGTCAAGCAGCGTGGGGAGAACAGTGTAACGTGTTCTTCAGGACAAGCACGTGTCTGGGGCTCTGCACAGAGAGGCGGTTACCTGGTTCCGCGGCTCCACCGGTCGCCGTCTGCTTTAGCCTCTCAGTAGTTTGCTTTCCCTCGGCATCTCTTGGGTCTTTGCCCCGGTGCCTCTTCACGCGCGGTTCGCTTCATCCCTTGACTCTGAACTGGATGCTGAAACTCCCAAGTTGTAGTTGCTGTCACATGCTGGAACGAGTTGCAGCTTTGATGCTGCAGCTCCTCTGCTCTGCCCAGCCCCGAGCGCTGCAGTGGTGCGGGTGGAAGCTCGGGGGGGAGGGGGTATCCGGGTGGACCAAAAGCACTTGGCAGAAGAATTGCGCGTTCATCTTGCTTGCATCTTGCAGGCACAGGCAGCGGCGTGACCTTGGTGTGGCTGGGAGATACCAGCTTACGGGCAGAGCAAATCGTGGGGTGGTTCGAGGTGCTTAACTGTCTCGCTGCTGCCGAGCCAGCGGTGAAACTGGTGGCTGCCTGCACAAGATAAGAACGCAAGAAGGATCTCGCGCTTACCCGACTTTAAAAACCAAACCCAACCCAACCCTGCATAATCTTCCGTGCTGCTGCTACGCAGCAAAAAGGCCTTTGTAGGTGACGGGATTGGAACTGGGAAAAGGAGGATGTCCCTGGGCTTGTGGCCAGTGCTGCAGAAGCAGCAGTCACCTGAGTTTCTCTTCCATCTCTTGGCGTAGTGCGCCTGTGGTGGCGCGGGTGCCCGTTCCCTTCCCCGAGCAGTTCCCGGGCGCGAGCTGCAGCCTTCGCTGTGGAACATCAGCACGGTGCTAGGCTGAAGGTCGGCTTTGGGCAGCGCCAGCGGGTCCAGACGAGGGACAAGCACTGAAATACAACTGGTCTTTGAGCATCAGCCTTAAACAAATGCTAATCCCTTGGTAGTGCAGAAAGGTGGGGAGCCACGAGGCAGAGAGAGGCAAGCCCCGCGGGGTGCTCCGCTGTGAAACGCTGCTGGAACTGGATACTGGCATCGAAACCCGCGACTTCCCGGGGTCGCTAATGGCCTCACAACATAACAGCACAAATCTGAACTGCTGAAGTGTAGCACGGGCTAACGCGGGAGCAGGGAACACCAGCCAAGGGGAGCGTTTCCAAGAATAAAAAGAACGAGACCCCACGGCACAGCGCACGCGCCGGGGTGGGTGAGCGTGCTGGAGGGAACGATGCGGAGGTGTGGAGCGGGCTGCCGAAGCTCTGTGAGGCTGCTGTGTTCTGTTGTTTGGTTTGGGGTTGTATTTTTGGTTTGTTGACTTTTTTTTTTTTTTTTTTTTCTTCAGTGGGATGAAGCTCTCTTAACAATGAGTAAAGGAGAGAAGGCTCAACTGGAAATCGAACCCGAGTGGGCGTATGGCAAGAAAGGGCAGCCCGATGCCAAGTATCCTTCCCCAGGCGGTTGCTCATTAAGTAGCTTGGAGGTGCCTGCTGGAATGAAGCGCTTCGTGGCCAGGGATGGGGGGGGGCACTCGTTTGTTGCTTGCTTTGCAGGCTTAGAATGTTAACAAACAGAAGAACTCAGTCAGCTTAATAGCTGGATGCACCTGCCCCTGGGCTTTGAAGAAAAAACTCCCCGAGGGAGTACCGCAGAGGAGAGCTTGCTGCTGCCTTCTGCCCGCTTTTTTACTCCAGCTGCTTCCACGTGCTCATTCCCACAGCGCCGGGGGCTGCCAGCCCCCGCAGAGGAGTCGCCCGCCGCAGGCGTCGGGACAGCACTCGCGTCCTGGCCAGGTCCGGATCTGGGACGCGGCTGGAGCACGGGACTGAGCGAGTGCTCCTGCACTTACGCAGTCACGTTTCTGTTATTTCCCAGCGCTTCCAGAGGAAGGGAAGCGATTGCGCTCTCTTGCTCGAACCCTATGCCATGAGAATTTCAAAGGACTGTCCAGGAATTCTTCCCTCTCTGGCCAAGCAGGACAGCCTCTGCTCCTCCCAGAGGAAGACCGGTGGCCTTGTCCCAGAAGAGGAGGCAGCGCTTAGGCGGCTCAGGCAGGACCCAGCCCCTCGCCTTCGGAGGAAGGGGGATGGCGAGACGTGTCCCTTCCTGAAGGCATGGCTGCCGCGCAGGGAGGG